TTAAAGTGATACTTAGATTCTCTGAACCTAAAATTTGGAAGCTAGATGTTATTGCCAATTCATGAATAGTTAGATGAGTGAGAGTAGGTAGACCCTCAAAAATAATAAACTTTAGAGAACTTTGGTAAAAGACAACATATATTTCTTATTCATAAGTCTTTTTGTAGTAAAATCTAACATCTAAAAATTAATATAAAAACTTATGTTTAAATTTCATTTAGTACCGATAACATGCATGTACTAGGTATGGGCCTTTTACGTGAAAATCCATCCTTTTCTTTTGTATTTTGAAATTGTTGATCATAAATAAAGTATTTTGTAAGAGTAGTGAAAATTACCAATGGTAGAGAAAAAGACGGGGATGTGCTCGTTTGGCATATAACTACCAAAAATGTTAAGGATAATTATGCACTTGTACTGTTTTCTCTCTTCAAATAGGGTATTATGCATGTTTGTAGAGTCGGCATACGGCCGAAACCACGTAACTCGCGTGTGACACTTATTTAATATTTTTCAAATAGATATTGTATGACCAAATTGTTCATATTATTTACAATATAACTAAACTTTGATAAGGAATCAATACATGATTATATTAATTAAATTAAAACATAATAACTATATATATTCAAAAATTTCCAGCTGAAAAGAGATTTCATTAAATTTCCCAGCTAAAACAATGAGGCTCAGCGGCTGTATCCGTTTGCTTGCATGGAACAATGCCCTTGTAAACCTCACTATGTCTTATGATCCAATTGCATTGTTTGCAAGTATCTCTACGAGAATCGTAATTACTGTAGCCATGAACAATGCCATCCAATAGAAAATCGCAGGAGAATATAATTCTTCTGACAGACAAGTAATGAAACTTAAAATGGTAAAACTTATTATTCTCGAGTGTTTTTTCACCAAGATCATGTTCCCTTGTGCGACAATGAAGTTTAAGGACCTTATTTGAAGGTAAAGAATTTGTTATGTTAATTGTTATTTCAGGAGTCGAATCGGCAATGCACAAAGACAAGTATGACAGAAGAAGAGTTATTGACAAGATAAGTTTGAGGAAATGACTCATTTTTACTCTTTTGGGAGAGCAATTTTAGATTTTTTTGTAAAAAGAAAAAAATTGGACTTCTTATTTATAAGTTGGAGGGTTACCAAATATAGTACATTTAATTTTGTTTTTCTATTTAGATTTAAGGTTTCGATTCGAGGAAAAATAGGAAAACTAATAGGAGTTGAATATATATAGCCAACTTAATAATTTCCATTTTCGAAAATGTACAAATTTTATTTAAAATACAAATCTAGTTTTAAAATCCAGTGACTTATCAATTATACTCTTAATAAAACAACGAAAAATATGTTTCTAATATATAATGTTAAACTATGCTATACTATACAAGATCTAGTAATCTAACATTTAACAGTATAGTTTAACAATATAATGAAACCATGCTAGATGATACTAGATATGGTAGCTATTTTCATTTTTGTTATTTTTCATTAAAGATTATTAGGTTATGTGATTTTGTGGCTAAATATGTCGCTTAAACAAAAAAAATTATTGACTTTAAAATTATTACTCATAGTCTTTTACTCATTATTTTTAATTTATAAATTTTAATCAAATCCGAACCTTTAGGATCTTATATTTGGTTCAACCTTAATAGGTTAATTGGATTTTGTACAAAGGCCAATAACAGCCACTACTTAAAATGATCAACAAAATTAATTTAAGTATTATTATTTCCTAATTGCGGATTAATTATCATATAATTCAATTAAAAGGGGGGGGGGGGGGGGGGGGGGGGGGGGGGGGGGGGGGGGGGGGGGGGGGGGGGGGGGGGGGGGGGGGGGGGGGGGGCGCGGTGCTGAGGAGAGAGGAGAGAGGATGGTGATGGGATGGAGGTGTTGGTGTTGTTGGGTTGGGGGTGTTGTTTATTTTAATTTTATACACACCTTATGAGATTGTTTAACAACCAAGATTTTCGAAAACTATTAAAAGCTTCGCTATAATTATTGAAATTCCCCTGAGAAAGGGGGATCTCTTATAAATAAAAAGGGGTATTTACTAATGTCAGATTCCTGTTTGTTACTCTATGTCTCTTTGGTTTATTAATTATCGTTGGTCGTTGTTAAACCACCACTACTTTAATTTTATTATTGTATTGACAGTTGTTCAACCACTGCTGCTTTTAACTTTAAAAATTGGGTATACAAAAAATTTAACTGACATTGACATGAACCTTCAATAATATTATTTATAACCTGAAGATGAGAACATTAGAGTGAAAATTATCAAATATGCCAGAACATCAATGATATATTATGAACCATAATTGAAGCCTGGTGGACTCCACATCATCTTGAGGCATTTTTTTATGAACAGGAAGAGGACTAATAATTTGTTTATGAGTATTGTGGTGCAATGAACATTCACTTAAAACAAGGCACCCTGTATTTTAATATTTTGTTTATGATTTATGAAAGTACATGGAATTTTCGTTGAGTGCATTGCAGAAATTTCTAATTTCTCCTTTCCCACACAAGTTGACCAAACCATTTCCAATCTCAAAAACCTTTCCATCGTTTCATTTATCATCTCTGGACAGAAAAGCTGGGTAAAAGTTTTCTTGCTTGCAGAAACTGACCGTCAAGAAGTTTAAGACTATCCTAAAATCACAAACTACAGGTAAAGAAAATTCTTCATACTCTTAGACAATTTTTTAATGCATCTTGTTTACTTGGTTTTTGGGAATTATGTCTTATATCTGTAATTAGGCCAAAACCCTGAAGTTTATTTTTTCATGAGTCTGATGACTTGTGTTTTTCACATTCTGTTGACTTAAATATGTTTGTTTTTGGATTCGAAATGCTAAACAATGTTTCAATTACTATATTTGAAAGACATGAAGATGCTTAAAAAGATAGGATCTGAGATTTATGGAGAGGGCGCCACTGATCAAGAGTTTTCAATCATTAAAGAATCTTTGTTAAGATAATTAAAAAGAATTTTTTTTTGATAACCACATTATGGATACAATAATACAAGTTAAGATGAACTGTTCAATGTTTCATTCATCTTGCTAGTAACTCTTCAATTCATCTTCGATGTATGGATCATTAGAAATCTGTCACAGCATGGAATGTGTTTGCACTCGTAATATTTTTAAATTTCATTAATTTCTCTTTGGTTTCTTTGAAGTGTTCTTATGTATTCATTTAATTTAAATTCAGAGGGACTACACTACAGCTTCCAGTCAGAATTTGAAGCTTAACGGCTTGCTGCAATTAACTGCTTCTTCAGCTCCTTTGATTCTTTGAAAATTTGAGCTGCTGTGCTTGTAAGTAATCAAAAGGAATTTGTGGAATAACTCAAAGCTCTTGATATTTCGTAATTTTATGTACATAATATCCATAGATACCGAAGTTTCTTTACAATCTACTAATTGAAGTGTTTTGTGTCATGGATGATATTTCTACTGTATTAACTTCACCTTTCTGAAAATGGGGTAGGCAGCATATTGGGATCACAATTAGAACTCAATAGGATACTTAATTATTATATTGATAGTTATTCAACCACTAATCCTTTAATTATTGGGTATATAAATAATTCAACGGACAATGATAGGAACATTCAATATAACTGTTTATAACCCTGAAGATCGGAACATCAGAGTAAAATTCTCAAATAGGCCAAACTAATATTGCCGGCTGGTGGAGGTTTCAAGAAACTAAGACGCCAAAAGTTGATTTTGTTTTCTTCAATTCTAATGGTCATCTTGAGGGCATTGTTTTATGAATAGGTAAAGGACTAATAATTTGTTATGATTATTAATGCAACGCAATGTACATTAACTTGAAAAGAGAACATTTTCGTTGAGTGCATCGCAGAATTTTCTTATTTCTCCTTTCACACACAATTCGCCAAACAATTTCCAATATCAAAAATCTATCCATCTTTTTTATTTATCAACTGTTGACACAGAGTGAGCAAAAGTTTTCGTTCTTGCAGAAAGTGAGTGTTAAGAAGTGAAGACTACCCTGAATCACAAACTACAGGTAAGAGAAATCCAACTATGTTTATTCTACAAATTTCTGAAACCCGATTCCTGAAGTTTATATTTCACATTCTTTTGACTTGAATATGCTTGTTTTTGGATTTGAAGTTGGGATTTATAATATACCACCTGTAATAGGTAGATAAAACATATAGATTTAAAAAAAATTCATACTTATGGCATCTAAAGTTTATGGTTTTCATTCACGTTTTAATAACGTTTATTAGAGTGAACGACAAATGTCTGAGAAACTTGAGTTGTCCTATATATATAAAGACAATACAACAAGATTTGGTTTCTGAAAAATATGTCTTACATCTGTAATCAGGCCAAAATCCTGAAGTTTACTCTTCATGAGTCCGATCACTGGTGTTTTTCACATTCTGTTGACTTAAATCTGTTTGTTTTAACGAGTATAGTGCGATCATTGTAATATGGTTTTTTTTTTTTTTTTTTCCTGAATGTCTCTAAATATATATTTAAAAAACTTGTAAGGTCGTGTCAGTACCATACTTGGTTCAAAGGTTCAATTGCAGTGTCCTAAAAAAATTCGATCACTGTTATTACTACAAGAAAATTACATACAAATTACTAACTAATTATCATCCTTCTCTTTCTTGATTGTTGCTCTTAATCTGATTATCTTCCTTCTCTGTATGAGAATTTTAATTCATTCTTATCATTTCTTCCTACGTAGTCAAAACCATGCCAGTGGGAGAAGTCTTTCTTGGTGCTTTTCTTCAGGTGTTGTTCGACAGATTGGCGCCGCGTAAGCTGTCGCTCTTTCCATGTGAAGATGGGATACGTTCAGAGTTGAAGCAGTGGAAGAGAAAGTTTTTAATGATCCAGGCAGTGCTCAACGATGCCGAGGAGAAGCAACTGACGAACGAGGCTGTGAAAACGTGGTTGGAAGATCTCCAAGACTTGGCATATGACATGGAGGACATACTGGATGAGTATGCCACTCAAGTTCTAGAGCGGGAATTGATGACAGAAGAATCGACGAACAGAATTGTTGATTATTTCTCTTCTTGGACTCCAAGTGCTCTGATTTCCCAGGCTGATATGAAGTCCAAGATAGAAGAGATAACTAGCCGTTTAGAAGATCTCTGTGAAGATAAGAATTATCTTGGTCTGAAAGAGATTGCTGGAGGCTCATCTACTGTTGCATGGCAAAGACCACCTAGTACATCTGTGCCAACTGAACCAGCAGTTATCGGAAGAGATACAGATAAAGCCAAGATACTTGAAATGGTGTTAAGCAATAAACAGAGTGGTGGCAGCTTTCATGTACTACCCATTGTTGGCCTAGGAGGAGTTGGCAAAACAACACTTGCTCGGGAGGTGTACAACGACAAGGCAGTGGCGGATTTCAATCCAAGAGCATGGGCATGTGTTTCGGATGACTTTGATGTTATGCGAATTTCCAAGGCAATTCTTGATTCAATCACTTCATCATCTTGTAGTCTACAGGACTTAAATGAAGTCCAGGTTCAGCTGAAAAACAAAGTAACTGGAAAAAAATTCCTCCTTGTATTAGATGATGTTTGGAGCAGAGATTATGGCTTGTGGGAAACTGTTAAGTCTCCCTTCATGGCTGGGGCACCAGGAAGTAGGATAATTGTGACCACACGCAACGTCGATGTAGCTTTAACAATGGGACAAAGTGAATATTTTAAGTTGGAACTTCTTTCAAATGATGATTGTTGGGGCATATTCGAGAAACATGTATCTGGGAGCACAGTTGCTGTTTCAGGCCAGAATTTGAATTCAATTCGTGATAAAGTTGTTGAGAAGTGCAGAGGGTTGCCGTTAGCAGCCAGGACTCTTGGGGGTCTTTTACGATCTAAGCAAAGATATGATGAGTGGGAAGATATATTGAACAGTAAATTATGGGATTTACCTGAAGAAAATGGCATTCTATCTGTTTTGAGACTAAGCTATCATCATCTTCCTTTGCATTTAAAAAGATGTTTTGTTTATTGTGCTATTTTTCCTAAGGATTATGAATTTATAGATGATGAACTTATTCTATTATGGATGGCAGAAGGTCTTATTCAACCATCTGAAAACAAGCATCTGGAAGACTTAGGTCATGAGTATTTTCGTGATTTACTTTCGAGGTCAATATTTCAACGATCAAGTATCAATAGTTCAAAATATATAATGCATGACCTTATCAATGATTTGGCTCAATGGATATCTGGAGAAACAAGTTTTAGATTGGAGGATGAATGCAGTCTCATGTCAATAAAAAGATTTGATAGAATTCGACACTCTTCTTACACATTTAGAGATTATGAAGTAAAAAAGAATTTTGAAGTTTTCCATAAAGTTGAGTCCCTGAGGACGTTACTGAGAATAGTCTTGCCACTGGGGTACGGAGGAAAAACTTACGTTCCTATGACAGTTTTTTTGAATTTATTGCCAAAGCTCAAAAAACTGAGAGCACTATCTTTAACATACTACCATATGATGGAACTACCCAACTCAATTGGAGATCTAAGACATCTAAGGTATATTAACCTTTCTGAAACCGAGATTAAATGTTTACCTGAGTCAACATGTTCACTGCTCAATTTACAAAGTTTGTTGTTGAGAAATTGTCGTTGTCTTGAGAGGTTGCCTTCACATGTGGGAAATTTGATCAATCTACGCCATTTTGATATTAGAGGGTCAATATTAATAAGGGAGATGCCATTGGGAGTGAAAAAGTTAAAATGTTTGAAGACACTGTCAAATTTTATTGTTGGTAAAGGAGGTATTGGATCTAGCTTGAAGGATTTGAAAAGCCTAAAGTTTCTTTGCGGAGAGCTCTGCATTTCACGTTTAGAGAATGCAGTGGATTGTCAAGACACAGCTGAGATGATGTTGTACGAGAAGAAGGACTTAGAAGTGTTGGTACTAGAATGGAGTTCATCTAATCCCTCAGAAGATGAAGCAGTGAAAATTGTTCTTGACATTTTACAACCTCATGAAAATCTCAAAGAGCTCACAATCACAAATTATGGCGGCCAAAAACTTTCATCTTGGATAGGAGATCCATCATTCTCCAACATGGTGGATTTGAAATTGGATGGATGTGAAAACTGCACAACCTTGCCTTCGCTAGCACTGATGGGCTCACTTCAAAACCTCACAATCAGATCGATGGGGAAAATAAAAAAGATAGGTGGTGAGATTTATGGAGAGGGTTGCTCAAAGTCTTTTCAATCGTTGTGGACTCTTTGTTTTGAGAATTTGCAAGAGTGGGAGCATTGGGACCCTGTAGAAGAAAATGACCATGTCCAAAGATTTCCTTGTCTGCAGAAGCTTTCAATTTATCAATGTCCTAAACTCTCTGGAAGATTACCCGATCATCTCCCTTTTTTGGATAATCTTGTGATTGATGAGTGTGAGCAGTTAGTGGTTTCATTTTCAAGCCTTCCAATGCTCAGATCTTTAGAAATAAATAGATGCAAAGGCATGGTTTGTTGTAGCCCTGTTGATTCAGAGGCCCTAAACCCCATGAGTACAGGTGGAGAATCAAACTTTCCAGTGTTTAGAAGTTGGTCAAGGGAGGGATTTCAGAAACTAGAACATCTATCTATTGTTGGCTGTGAAGAGCTCATACATTTATGGCCAAATAAGATTTGTACAGAGAATGCACCACAAGAGTTGAGTTGCTTCACCTTCCTTCAAGAGCTGCATTTAAAAGAGCTCCGGAATCTTGTTTCGTTTCCAGATGGGTTACTTTCAATCTTGAGCAGAGTTACTATCAGGCAATGTGACGCCTTAACATCCTTGCACGAGGGGTTGAAGCACAGCAATGCACATCTCAAGTACTTGGAGGTTTATGACTGTCCTTCTCTAACATTCATTGTGAGAGGCCGTTTGCCTTCATCTCTAAAAGAGCTTTCTATTATTAGATGTGAAAATTTGGTGTGCGTTTTGGATGATAGAGAAGATACTTGTACTTCTTCTCCATCTTCTTCTTATTCACTGGTACACAGGGACGACGTGGACAACACCAGCACATCTCTTCTCTGCAAATTAAGAATAGTGGAATGCCATTCTTTGACGCATTTATCCTCAACAGACCAGTTACCTTCAACACTTGTGGAGCTTTCTCTTGCAAACTGTTCAAGTCTCAGAACCTTGGGACAGTTATCAAAGAGACTTGTGTCCCTTTTTATTAACAACTGCCCAAAGTTAGAGTCTCTAGCATCTGGGAGTTTTGACTGTAACATGCCTACTGAGGTTCTTACAATCAAGGAATGTGAAAACCTTAAATCCATTCCGGAGGGCTTACACACTCTTTGCAAACTACGTTTTCTGATTATCAGTGATTGCCCAAGTCTTGTTTCGTTTCCAGAAGATGGGTTTCCTGACACTGATTTACTAGTAGAGATCTTTGGGTGTGAGAAACTACAAGCCCTACCTAGCCGCATGCACACCCTCAAATCTCTTCAAAAGCTATTCTTATTGCTTTGTCCTAATATCGAATCCATTACAGCAGAAGATTTCCCCTCAAACCTAAAATCACTTGCACTTCCTCTCAGTATCTACAAGCCGCTGGCTAAGTGTGGTTGGCACAAACTTACCTCTCTTAGAAGGCTCATAATTTTGGGATTATCTTTTCCAGAGGAGGAGATCATAGAAATAAAGTTTCCCACCTCTCTAATTGATCTGAGGATTTTTAATTTCTCGAAATTGAAATACCTATCTTCCAAAACTTTCCAAGTTCTTACATCTCTTGAATATTTGGGTTTCAATGATTGCCCAAATCTCACATCCTTGCCACATCTTCCATCCTCACTTTTGTGGCTATATATTTATAATTGTCCTTTAATAGAAAAACAGTGCAAAAGGAATGAAGGACAAGAATGGTCCAAGATAGTTCACATCCCTCGCGTTAGCGTAAATCATGAACTCATCTAAACTCTGGAAGAAGAAATGAGCTGAATCCGATACTAATTCCTTCCATCATTGTAATCAATTTAGGTACGTCAATTTTTGGCTCATAGAACAATTGTTATTATTGAGAGAATTTAGAGTTTTACAAAAATAGAGTGCGAATTAATAATTTTGTCACTTCATGCAGGGAGAAACTGAATAGTTTGAAACCTGGATGCAAAATGCCAACATTGCTATGGCAGTAGTAAGCTTTACCATATGTTTCTTAAGACAATTTTAAGTCACACTTCTGACTAATTAAAATTAATGAGAGAATTGGTTTTAGTATATTCATTTTGTTCATTTCTAGTAGTACCCTAAGCTCTTTAAGCACTGAGTTGATATCAAGCTTTGTGCTTTTCTTCTACCTAGTAATTCATGGAGCTTAATTTGGATGTGGAAGGCAATGATACACTATGTAGATTACAGAGCTTTGGAGGTGTTGGTGTTCAAATGTTGCAGTTTAGATTGCTAGAGTGTTACGGGAATATCGGTGAAGATTCTGTTGAAGCCTTTCAAAGGTTATGATTGTCCTTTGTAGAAAAAGGAGGGAAAAAAAAAAGCAGCAATCTACACGAGGAAGAATGGAGCTTCAATTCATTATCTAGGGCATGCCTTTATATTCTTTTCAGGTCTGACAAATTCTTTTCAGGTCACAATTGTATACAAGTTTATGTAACTGGTTATGTAGCAATTGTAGGGAGACACCAACTTCAAAAACATTATGTCAACATTGCAATGGCACTGGTAACGCTTTATCATATCACATGTTAAGATAATTAAAAAGAATTTTGGTTCCTCTGTTTGATAACCTTCTAATACAAAATCATTTAGTATCTATCAAAGAATCCTTCACTCAACTTACCGTACTAACTTTTTTTATACCATTTTTCAGCTCAACGAAGAAAGAAGCTAACAATAGAGCTCAACACAAAGTGGATACAACAATACAATGTCTTCATTCATGTTGCTATTAACATAACTTTAATAGGTCATAATGCTACTCCATTCTCGATGTATGGATCACTAGAAACCTGTAACCTCATGGAGTGTTTGCACACATAATATTTTAAAGTTAATTAATTAAAATTTTTTTCATTGATTTCTCTCTTGTTTCTTTGAAGTGTTCTTATTTATTGATTTATTTATTTTTTTTTTTTTTAGAGGGACTAGAGTACAGCTTCCTTTCAGAATATGAAGCTCAAGGGCTTGCTACAATTAACTGCTTCTTCGCCTCATTTGCTTCTTTGAAAGATTGTAAGGTAATCAAAAGGAGTTTGTGGAATAACTCAAACTCTTGATATTTTGATACATAATATCCACAGATACTGAAGTTTCTTTATAAACATAAAATAAAGTCACAAAGTTGCAATGTCTGTACTAGTTATTGACATCTGTGTTAGTTTTGGGGCATGCTGTTGACCATTTTAGGGACTTCTCATCTCCTAAATATATGGTCATTGGAGAAATTGAATAGGAAAATTGTTTTAATGGTCTGGCATCTGACATTGTGTATACCTTAACCCTTTTAAACCTGAATCCAAATTCTATAACATGAATTGGAAACTCTAATTTGGGAGGGTTTTGGTGCCTGAGTTTAGGTGTTGCATATTGCAATCTGAATATCTTGCTGATCTACATCCTTAATCTATATCACTTAGACAAACAGAACTATGCTATCTTTCCTTGAAAATAAATCGTGTTATTAAGTGACTTTCTTTATGCAGGTTCTGTGTAGCAGAAGTTCTCCTTGCTCTGTAATACCTCCATATACTTGGGATTATTTACTGGAACCTTAAGCCAGAAAATGTTCTTGTAAGGGAAGATGGACATATAATGCTCTCTGACTTTGGTCTTTCCCTCCGTTGTGCTGTCAGCCTAACAGTGGTGAAGTCGTCAACACTCGGATCTGAAACCCTGAAAAAGAATTCGGTTTATTGCATTCGACATGCCTGCATCAAGCCCTCGTGTATCCAACCGTCATGTATTGCCCCGACAACTTGTTTTTCTCCTCAATTCTTTTGAAAATCCAAGAAAGTTCAGAAACCAAAGAATGAAACCGGGAACACGGTTACCCCACTGCCAGAACTTATTGCTGAGCCAACCAACGCTCGCTCCATGTCGCTTGTGGGAACTTACGAGTACCTGGCGCCTGAAACGATCAAAGGTGAAGGGAATGCGGTGCTGTTGATTGGTGGACTTTTGGGATCTTTCCGTATGAGCTATTATTTGGTAAAACTCCCTTCAAGGGCTCCGAAAACAGGGCTACCCTGTTTAATAGCCCAAATCATTTCTGTTTCACAGCTATAATTTTTGTTGTCTCTATCTTTCAACTTTTATCACAAATTTGGTAAACATTTTCATTTCTAATGCTGGCCGAAACTCTAGGCATTGGGCAGATATCAAGGTTTTTTATATTAAAAAATCAATTGGTTTGTGTTTGGTGGACAGGTTGCTTGTCTTCTAACAAATCATAGAACTGAATTCGGATGTGGAAGGCAATGATGCACTATGGTTTGCGCAATAAAGTCTCTGCTTGAAGAATGAATTTCTGGTGTAATATACAGAGTTCTTAGTAAGAAAAGTAATCAGAACTATTATTCCATTTTAGTTAGATAGTTTTAGTTGGATTCAAGAAACCAACTATTTTTTATGACTTGAAAATTTTTTGGTTGAAGGTTTCTGCTATTCCTTTGTTAATTTTCAAAGAGGTGCTGGTGTTCAAATGCTGCAGTTTGGGAGAATTATGGGAATCTTGGTGAAGATTCTATTGAAGATTTCAAAAGGTTATGATTTCTTCTTGTCATGAAGACTATTTTTTATGATTTCTTCTTGATGTGCAATGATACTACGAAGAATATGCTCGAAGGATGAATATCTGGAGTTATTTACAAACTTTTACTTTCTGCACTTCTTCCAGAGATGTGAATACAAATGCAACAAAGATTATGCTTGAAGTAGTTTCAGAATCAGACTTGAGAACCTTTTGGTTGTACAAATTATAGATGTACATGATTTTTAATGTGTTTTACATTTCTTTTCAATTCCTGTATAACTGCGTGTAGTTGCGTTTTCTTTTTAACTTCTTGTAATACATTTTTTCCCAAGGAGTAAGGTTCATTATGTCCCTTATCAGGGTGTAGTCTTTTCTTTAATCAATAAAATTTCATTGTATAATTGAGGTTGCTTCAAAAGGGAGAAAAAAATGAAAAAAGAATACTTATTGCTATACCTTTATTTATTATTGCAAACAACCAAGAAAAAATTTCAGTATTCCATGTCACTACCGTTTCGCTGATGTCACAATTAGTTTACGTCATTATGTCACCCATTGTTAATTACTGATCTCTTGCCGTTATCGTTAATTGACATAATTATGCCTTAACTATTAGTTATCCTTCACAAGACTATACCGTTTAGTAACGTATATACACTATCACTATATCACCGTTATTTAACGTTTTCTTAATGTTACACTTTATTAAATTGTTACAATCGACTCAATCGTAAACATTAGTTCACTGTTAACTTGTCATTACCGTTCATAAATGCTCACCTGCCGTTACTGTTCGTTAATGTGTTATCCATCATTATTTTTTATTAATGTTTACACATTTTTACCCTTATTAAACGTTTTTCCTAACGTCACCATTGGTTGACTTCAATATGCCAACATCGTTAATTAACGTTTATTGGTGTTACTACTTACTATGTGTGATTATTAATTATCACTCACATGACATTATACGCCATCATCGGCATGACAAGCCGTTATTATTGAATTTCCGTTTATTGCCGTTAACACCGTTAACTAAATCACCGTTTTTAAACATCAGTCATTCTCATTTATTCCGGAAATCACTTCTTTTTCTTCTTCTTCTCTAGTTGTTCATTCTTGAAAAAAGCCTGACTGTAACACCCAAATAACGAGCAATCACTTCAGTAATGTCCTCTTTCGCTTCCTCAACCACCAAAAGAATCTATCAAATCCCCCACAAATTCCCCAAATTTAAACCATTTTCTTAGAACAAACCTCAAACCAAACCATTAAATAATGACCATCATCATGAGCTTCGAGCTTCTCAAATGGAGAACAGCATCTATACCCTTCTCACTATAGACCGTTGGGACCCTCTGAACCACATGGACTACAATTTAGATTCACTGAGATCGGTTCGCGTGAAGCTTCCTTGGGATTTCTCAACTGGGCCTGGTTTGGAACTCAATCACTTGACACACTTGCTTTGTTTAACAGCTCATGTTCTTGTTAAAGCCAGAATGTATGATGATGCCCAGGTGATATTAAGGCAATTATCTTAAAATTTCTTCACTAAAATTTCTTCACAGAGCACCAGAAAACTTGTTGCACACAATGTGCCAAATAAAGACATTTATTGCAATCTTGCTCAACCATAAAGAACAAAAAATNCTCATGTGTCACAAGTGTAGTCAGAACAACTATTATCATATTTTACCAATTTGTGGAGTTCTTCCTGAGGTGTGAGTGTGGAAATGTTGGGATCTTGGTTGCAAAAGAGATCTCAGAATGTTGATTTCTGGTGCATTGTGGCTCAAATATGCCAATTTTTTTGTTAAGAACAATACTGTCTCTCATTTTGTAACCTCTCATATATATCGTCTTTTGTCAACATTGTTTATTTTGTATCCTTTTTTTCTTTTTCTTTTTTATTTTGGAAGTTTCATATGATTAAGTTACCAAATATTTCACATATGGATGAGCTAAAACATGCCGGCCTAATTACTGTATCGTCTTCCTCTTATTTGTCTATATTTATGTGGTTCTTTTTATTATTATTATTATTATTAAAAATAAAGTAGCCGACCTTGATTATGCCCGATTTACATTATATATAGACTTTACAAATTAAAAAACTAATTGGGTAACACTTTTTCTGATGATTATGTGATGAATCAGAAGGCGTATGTAGATGGTAAAAGTTTACGGTTACGGAATGAACAAATACTGTGAGGTTGAGGTCACTGATGATCTGTTAGACCTACACACACAAAAAGGTAAATGCAAAGCTCACGGACGACACCAGTGTGTGTTTGCGTAAGCATTCCAATGCTCAAGTCAGCAAGACGGAAAATGGCAATTTAGTGAATGCTAAAAGGAGGAAAGGTTATTGAAGTCTCGTTGGAGACAAGAACTATGGTGAAGGTGACTATGGTTCTTAGGAATAAGAACTTTGAGAGCAAGTATGTTTGAATCTTCATAATGAGAGGCATGACTCTATTTATATAGTGAACATAAGAGCTTGAATCTTAGTTAAACTCTGAGTTCATAATTGTAGAATTTGAGTAAAAAGGAAAGTCTTGATTCATTTGCCAAGTAAGAGTCCTAATTCTTAGGATCTTAAATGAATTAGGAATTAGGATGTAGGCAAATTTAGGGTTTGGGAACTCATGGCTCTTTGGAGTGAACCATCGACTTACGGGCCTGAGCCCAAGTGGGCTAATGATGAGATCCAATTCGAAGTATGACCTTGATAGTTGAATGATCCAATTCGTGATTAGTCTGGTTGGTGCAATGGTTGACTCGTAGTGTGGATCTTATCGTAGACCCAATTTGAATTGGGTCATGGCATTAGACCACGTAGTAGATATTTCGTGTTTGAGCATGAGAAGACCCATTATGATTTTTTACCCATACAACGCATTAAAGTATTTAAATGAAACTTCGTTTTCGTACACACTTTGCTCCCGGTTAGACATTTGTTCTTGCAAGATAGAGATTTTTGTTATTTAATCATTCCCAAGGGTATTATTTCATTAACCCAATTTTAAACATAATTTTAGCTACAAAATGTGCTTACTGAAATCTGAAATATGGTACGGTGTGATGCAGGTTAAAGTTGAGAAAAAGATAATTCTTACGAGGCCCCATTGATGTTTGAAGTTTTGTTGCCATGCCATCCCTAGTCTGAACTGAAGTACCTAAATGTCTTAGTCTCTAATTTGACAAGGCCCAAAATGTTAGTTTTTGGGATTAGATTCTACTGGACCTAAAATTAGGAAGCTAGATGTTATTTGCCAATTCATCAATAGTTAGATGAGTGAGAGTAGAAACACTTTTGTGTAGACCCTCAAATAAATAAATAAACTTCAGAGAACTTTGGCAAAAGACAACACATATTTCTTATTCATAAGTCTTTTTGTAGTAAAATCCTAACATATAAAAATTTAATTTAAAAACATTATGTTTAAATTTCATTTAGTACCGATAACATGCATGTACTAGGTATGGGCCTTTTCGTGAAAATCCATCCTTGTCTTTTTTAAAATTGTTGTCTTCAATATATTTTGACACAATTTATTAGTTTACCATAAATAAAGTATTTTGTGAGTGCAGTGAAAATTACAAATGAGTAGAGAAAGAGATGGGGATGTGCTCATGTCATATAACTCCCAAAAATGTTTAAGAGAATATTATGCACTTGTGTACTGTTTTCTCTCTTCAAATAGTAGATTAGTGTTGATGTCAGCATATTAGCCTGAACCACGTAACTCTAATGTATAGTTTTGTGTTCTGATTTTACCAGATTTCATTTTAATTTGAAGGAATTGGTTAACCTGTTCAAGGAATTGCTTCTTGAAAGTGAGTGTAAAACAATATTTACAAGTTGATCAATTTGTTCTTCACTTACCCTTTTATCTCTTGAGTTTTGTTAAACTAATTAATCAAACAAGAATCGAATTATTGATTAGATTATCATTCAATTTTCTTTTGTGAAATTTCATGGAGGGTGGGCGGTGGATTAGGTAGGTCAGTACAATAACTTGAGGTTGGTGCTTGGAAATTCTCTAACTATGGACCACTATGAAGAAGCAGCCAAAGATTTTAGGAGTGTATAATTTAATTTGGAGCCAACGCCAAAGACTTTTATCCTTTATGAGCACTTGACTCTTGGATGTCCATTTTCCATTTTAATTATTCATAGTGAAGCGTTAAGAGAAAAGGAAGAAACCTCTCAAACTTTACATTTTCTGAGTCTCTTTCTTCTTCTGTCATCAAACACTAATCTAATTATTGATTGGATTATCATTCAATTTTCTTTCGTGAAATTTCATGGAAGGTGACCGGCTGATTATATAGGCTGGAAGTGAAATTTCGTGGAAATTTGTGATTTGAAGAAAAAAACAAGACATTGAAAGAGCAACCACTATGAAGTTGGATTATTGGAATGGTGGAGCCAAGACCTTAAACCAAAGTTGCAGACACAGCTGGACTCTCTGCTTTATGAGTTCACTTTCCATTTTCCATTTTACTTTTTCTTTATCTTTCATAATGANTTATGCAGGTTCTGTGTAGCAGAAGTTCTCCTTGCTCTGTAATACCTCCATATACTTGGGATTGTTTACTGGAACCTTAAGCCAGAAAATGTTCTTGTAAGGGAAGATGGACATATAATGCTCTTTGACTTTGGTCTTTCCCTTCGTTGTGCTGTCAGCCTAACAGTAGTGAAGTCGTCAACACTCAGGTCTGAAACCCTGAAAAAGAATCCGGTTTATTGCATTCGACATGCCTGCATCAAGCCCTCATGTATCCAACCGTCATGTATTGTCCCTACAACTTGTTTTCTCCTCGATCCTTTTGAAAATCCAAGAAAGTTCAGAAACCAAAGAATGAAACCGGGAACCAAGTTACCCCACTGCCAGAACTTATCGCTGAGCCAACCAACGCTCCATGTCGTTTGTAGGAACTCACGAGTACCTGGCGCCTGAAACTATCGAAGGTGAAGGGCATGGAAACGCTGTTGATTGGTGGAGTTTTGGGATCTTTCTGTATGAGCTATTATTTGGTAAAACTCCCTTAAGGGCTCCGAAAACAGGGCTACCCTGTTTAATAGCCCAAATCATTTCTGTTTCACAGCTATAATTTTTGTTGTCTCTAACTTTCAATTTTAATCACAAATTTGGTAAACATTTTCATTTCTAAAGCTGGCTGAAACGCTAGAAGTTGAGCAGATATCAATGTTTTACTTGAAAAAATTCAATTGGTTTGTGTTTGGTGGACAGGTAGCTTTTCTTCTAATAAATCATAGAACTGAATTAGGATGTGGAAGGCAATGATGCACTATGGTTTGCGCAACAAAGTCTCTGCTTGAAGAATGAATTTTTGGTGTAAGTTACAGAGTTCTCAGTAAGAAAAGTAATCAGAACTATTATTCCATTGTAGTTAGATAGTTTAGTTGGATTCAAGAAACCAACTGTTTTTATGACTTGAAAATTTCTTTGTTGAAGGTTTCTGCTATTCCTTTGTTAATTTTCCAAGAGGTGCTGCTGTTTCACAAATGTTGCAATTTAGTAGAGTTATGACAAATGTGGTGAAGATTCTATTGAAGCCTTCAAAAGGTTATGATTTCTTCTTGTCATGAGACCAAGTTATTCTAGTGTTATGATGGTCCTAATCCACATCCTTTACTCTTGTGCAGTTTAATATGAATGATTGTCCTTTTTCAGAAAACGCAGGGCGAAGGAATGAAAGACGAGAGTTGTCGAAGATATATAGCCACTATTCCTTGGTTTTACAAGGAACTAAAGCACCAATAATTCTTTTGCATGCATTGTCTGTCCAATGTCCATGTTGAAGCACACCAAATAAACAAAACTGTGTTACATTATCTCAACATTTGTCTTGAGAAATTTCGGATTTTGTGTTGTAAAAACATTACATCAGTTACCGAAGGTCTACACACTCTTCGTATCTTCGTTATTTTGGATAAAAAATTGCCCAAGTCTTGTTTGTTTACCGGAAGACGGCCTTCCTAATACTGTTTCAGAAGTGCTTATCAATAATTGTAGGAAGCTCAAAGCTCTTATCTCTTCAATGCCTACCTTATATGAATGTCCAAATATGGCTTTCCTCCTGAACAAATTGAACTCTGCACTTTACTAACCTCTGTTCATGACTCAGCTTCCTGGAATTAATGCTCCACTGGAATATACTGAAATAACAACAGAGTACAAAATGGACTCATATGATATTATGTTTAAAAACACCACAACGACAACCACCACAACACTCACCCACACAACCCCAAACACCCAACACTACCTGCAAAAAACACCCCACCTGATTTAACTTTCACATGGAATAAATCCCAAATAATCTAAAAAGGTGAACAAATCATTTTCAAATCTCTTAATTTTTTCATATAAAATTCACAATGCCCGAGTGTGGAGGCTTAGAAGTTAGAAGAGAGGCATAGTTACGGCTTGAAGGCTTGGCTTGGGTCAAGACGTGACGGGTTGCCGTGCGCGCGGCACCTTCCACGGCGGCGACCCATGCTCACTTGCTCAAATCCGGTCATGGCTGCGTGTTTTGTTTAATTGGTAAAGAGAGAGGGAAGTGAAGAAAAGAGAAAAAAAACAAAAGAAAGAGGGGAAAAAAGAGAGAGACGAAGAAGAGAAGAGAAAAAAATATACATACATATACTTTAGTCACATAATTACCTAAAACCCTTAGTTAGTTGATATTACCAAAACACTTTGACCAATTAGGCCTACACACTCAAATTACCTAAATGCCCTTTATCCTTTGACTTTTTTGACCTTTGGAAAGGGCGTGCTCACGGCAGTGTTTTTAGGGGTTCTAATGATACATTAGAAAATAATGGGGACATTTATTTAAAACAAATGGGACCAGTCAAATTAAACTTTATTTATTAAAATATATTGTAATGCAGTAAAAATTACAAATGTTGAGAAAAGATGGGAATGTGCTCTTGTCTCAATAACTCCCAAAAATGTTTAAGACATATTAGTACTTGTGTTCTGTTTTCTCTCTTCAAATGGTAGATATAATCATTGTTTGTTGATGTCGTATATGGCCTGAACCACGTAACTCTAATGTAAGTTTTTGAGTTCTGATTTTACCGAATTTCATTTTATTTTGAAGGAATTGGTTAATTGTATAAGGAAAGATGGACAAAATTTATATGTATTGCTTCTTGAAAGTGAGTGTAAAACAATATTTATAAGTTGATCAATTTTTTCTTCACTTACCCTTTTTCTCTTGAGTTTTGTTAAACTAATTAATCAACACGAATCGAATTATTGATTAGATTATCATTCAATTTTCTTTTGTGAAATTTCATGGAGGGTGGGCGGTGGATTTGTAGGTCAGTACAATAACTTGAGGTTGGTGCTTGAAATTCCTAAACCAAACACACTATGGACCACTATGAAGAAGCAGCCAAAGATTTTTGGTGTTATAATTTAATTGGAGTTGAATTATTGAAATGGTGGACCCAACGCCAAGAATATGGACCACTATGAAGAAGCAGCCAAGATTTTAGGAGCGTAAAATTTATTTAATTTGGAGCACTTGACTCTTGGATGTCCATTTTCATTTTAATTATTCATAGTGAAGCGTTAAGAGAAAGGAAGTGTTATAACTACTCAAAGAAAGAATCAACCACAAAAGCAACAAATCAAGATCAAGATATCAAACCAAGACCAACAGATTTACCGTGGTTCACTTGCTCTAAGATTGAGCAAGCTACGTCCACGTTGAACTCGATATCACACGAGCTCGCTGCACTAATACTGTCAAGTTTACAGATTACACAATCAGCAACACAAGTCACTCAAAACCCCTTCTTCAACCCGTAACCAAACCCTAGAGATTACACCATTCGAATCCCTAAATACAGTGTATACTATACACCCAGAATGACCTGACCAGTCACTCAACACTCAAGTTACAGGCAACACTCAACCCAAACTGTAGAAACCCTAAAGGCTTAATGGTGTTTACGAAGAAAGAAGAGTATTCGAAACGAAAATGAATCGCTCTAATAAACTGCCAAAATAATTCTGCTTTTATATGTTGAAATTAGGTTGAATTTCATCCGTTGGATCTCCTTTTTCATCACGCTCAGGATTGGTTCTGTCAATATGAGCAAAGTGACGTCGTTCCACTAATTGTCAGACGGTAGCGTTTCAAGCCATCATCCAACAGAAGAAACCTCTCAAACTTTTCATTTTCTGAGTCTTTTTCTTCTTCTGCCATCAAACGCTAATCTAATTATTGATTTGATTATCATTCAATTTTCTTCGTGAAATTTCATGGAAGGTGACCGGCTGATTATAGGCTGGAAGTGAAATTTCGTGGAAATTTGTGATTTGAAGAAAAAACAAGACTTGAAAGAGCAACCACTATGAAGTTGGATTATTGGAATGGTGGACCAAGACTTTAAAACCAAGTTGCAGACACAGCTGGGTTCTCTGCTTTATGAGTACACTGTCCATTTTTCATTTTACTTTTTCTTTATCTTTCATAATGAACACTTGACCTTTGATGTCCAGTTTCCATTTTATTACTGTTGAGGTAAAAAGGAAGACCTCTCATGAGGCATTTTGTTTTTTACGAACAGAAAAAGGACTAATAATGGATATTCACTTTATTTCTGATTTATGAATACGTGGAATTTTCGTTGAGTGCTTGCAGAAATTTCTATTTTCTCCTTTCCCACGAAAGTGCACCAAACCATTACCAGTCTCGAAAACCTTTCCATCTTTTCATTTATCATCTGCCGACAGAGAAGTTGAGTAAAAGTTTTCTTGCTTGTAGAAACTGAGTATCAAGAAGTTCAAGACTATCCGAAAATCACAAACTACAGGTAAAGAAAATTCTTCATACTCTTAGTAATTTTTTAAAGCATCTTGTTTATTTAGTTTCACTTGTCCAATCGCTAGTGTTTTTCACATTCTGTTGACTTAAATATATTTGTTTTTGGATTTGAACTGATGAACAATGTTTTAATTACACTGTGGAATAAGAATCAATGGTCCAGCTCAAATATAGCTATTATCCATGCATGCATCCTGTTAACAATTATCAATGCTGTGAAATAGAACTCCATGGATCCATGGTCTGGTTTCTTTGGTTTATGAAAAATACGTCTTACATCTGTAATTAGGCCAAAATCCTGAAATTTATTTTTCATAAGTCCGATCACTTGTAAAGTTACACTGTAGAATAAGAATCAAGTAAATTTCTTAATATTTATTTATCTTTATAAATGATCTTTAAAAACAATATTAGTAGCAAAATCCATTTGTTTATGGCCAACTCTACATTTTCTTTTCTCAATCCTGCCTAATAAAGCATCAAGATTGACAAGACAGCTCACAATCACACTTGGCAGTTGTATCCTAAAATCTTCAGAGTTTCAGTTAATAAATTTTGGTAATGCTCCTGTAGATTTGATAGTTAATGGAGATGAAGAACCCATGAAGATGTCAGCCTTTAACTCTCTAAGCCTTTCAATGAACAATAAGGTTAAGTTTAGGACTGAACTTGTGAATACAATTGCAGATTTTCACCTTCCATTTGGCAAACTGTATTATATTATCTTCTAAAATTAGAGTAAAAAATGGAGGGGATCCAACTGATATATATGTTGGGATAGTGCCTTGAGTCCCACATTGCTTGGGAAAGGGAGTTGCAAGGGGACTCTCCTCTAAATACCCTAGCAGTGTGGGCACCAAAAGCATAGCTAAAGTGGACTGTTATTAAGAGCGTAATTGGGTTTTTTGGGATAGTGTTAGAAGTTGACCATTTTTCTCTTCTAAAAATCCCCCTTTAAAATTCTCGTGTTTGGTTAGCTTTATTTTGCGTTGTTTGCTTTAATTTTGTGTTTGAGTTGTGAGAATTTTTTTTCCAAATATATATTACCCAACCAAACGTTTTTAAACTGTTGATGAAAATCAAGTAAAATATCATAAACTAAGAGGGTAATTAGTATCTCGAAAAAACATAATTCATTTTATTGATTTCTCTGGTAAGCTCTATCTACAAGATTTGACATAATTTACATAAAATCACACTGTTAACCATGTCTGATATTTATATTATATGATAGTATGCCGTGCAAAGGTGCTTAGGATGCCAAATCGAAATCGATTCCTCCTGTTAGGCTCTTGTTTCTATTTGTATTACATCGTATTTTAAATAACGCAGGTTTAAAGTGAATAATCCATTTGATTTAATTCCTTTCTTTCAACAAACAGAAGTTATCATCATGGCTGTGGGAGAGCTCTTTCTCTCTGCGTTCCTTGCAATGTTGTTTGACAAATTGACATCCCCTGAGTTGCTGCAGTTTGCAAGTCAAGAGGGTGTACGCTCAAAGCTGAAGAAGTGGGAGAAGAAGTTGAAGTTTATTGATGCTCTGCTCATGGATGCCGAGGAGAAGCAACTGACGGACAGGGCTGTGAAAATGTGGCTGGACGAGCTCCAGGACTTGGCTTATGATGTGGAGGACATTCTGGATGAGTTTGCAACTGAAGCTTTAAGGCGAAAGGTGATGTCTGAACACCATGCTAGCAGTAGCAAGGAACGTAGCTTTATCTCAGCTTGTTTCACTGGTCGGACTCCAAGTGCTGTGAAGTTCACTTTCAACATGAGGTCCAAGATAGGTGTTATTACTAGCAGATTGGAAGAACTCTGCAGACAAAGAACTGAGCTTGGATTGGAAAAGATTTCGGGGGGGACATCAACTACTGCATGGAATAGACCATCCAGTACATCTGTGCAAATCGAGCCTGCTATTTTTGGGAGGGAGGAAGACAAAGCCAAGATACTACAAATGGTGTTAAGTGGGGAATCAAGTGAAGCCAACTTTTGCGTTACACCGATTGTTGGTATGGGGGGAATTGGTAAAACAACACTTGCTCGAGAGCTCTACAATGATGACAAGGTTATCGAAGTTTTCAATCCAAGAGCATGGACGTGTGTCTCGGATGATTTTGATGTTCTGCGTATCTCTAAGGCAATTCTTGAGTCAATCACTTCATCATCTTGTAGTCTACAGAACTTAAATGAAGTGCAGGTTCAGTTGAAAAACAAAGTAGCCGGACAAAAATTCTTCCTTGTATTAGATGATGTTTGGAGCAGAGATTATGGCTTGTGGGAAACTCTTAAGTCTCCCTTCATGGCTGGGGCACCAGGAAGTAGGATAATTGTGACGACACGCAGCGTCCATGTAGCTTTAACCATGGGACAAAGTGAATATTTTGAGTTGAAACTTCTTTCAAACGATGATTGTTGGGGCATATTCGAGAAGCATGTTTCTGGGTGCAGAGTTGTTTCACGCCAGAATTTGAATTCAATTCGTGATAAAGTTGTTGAGAAGTGCAGAGGGTTACCATTAGCAGCCAGGACTCTTGGGGGTCTTTTACGATCTAAGCAAAGATATGATGAGTGGGACGATATATTGAACAGTAAATTATGGGATTTACCTGAAGAAAATGGCATTCTCTCTGTTTTGAGACTAAGCTACCATCATCTTCCTTCGCATTTAAAAAGGTGTTTTGCTTACTGTGCTATTTTCCCCAAGGATTATGAATTTATGGATAAGGAACTTATCCTATTATGGATGGCAGAAGGTCTTATTCAACAATCTAAAAACAAGCATCTGGAAGACTTAGGTCGTGAGTATTTTTGTGATTTATTGCCGAGGTCAATATTTCAACGGTCAAGTATCAATGGTTCAAAATATATAATGCATGACCTTGTCAATGATTTGGCTCAATGGATATCTGGAGACACAAGTTTTAGATTGGAGGATGAATGCAGTCTCATGTCAATAAAAGGATTTGATAGAATTCGACATTCTTCTTACACATTTAAATGTTATGAAGTAAAAAAGGATTTTGAAGCTCTCTATAAAGTTGAGTCCTTGAGGACGTTGCTGAGAATATTCTTCACATCAACGTACGAAAACACTTACATTAATAAGATGGTTTTTTTGGATTTATTGCCAAAGCTCAAAAAACTGAGAGCACTATCTTTAACAAAGTACCATGTGATGGAACTACCCAGCTCAATTGGAGATCTAAAACATCTAAGGTATATTAACCTTTCTGAAGCTGGGATAAAATGTTTACCTGAGTCAACATGTTTACTGTTCAATTTACAAAGTTTGATGTTGAGAAATTGTTACTATCTCGAGAAGTTGCCTTCACACGTGGGAAATTTGATCAATCTACGCCATTTTGATATTAGAGGGTCAAGATTAATAAGGGAGATGCCATTGGGAGTGAAAAAGTTAAAATGTTTGAAGACACTGTCAAATTTTATTGTTGGTGAAGGTAGTATTGGATCTAGCTTGAAGGATTTGAAAAGCTTAAAGTTTCTTTGCGGAGAGCTCTGCATTTCACGTTTAGAGAATGCAGTGGATTGTCAAGACACAACAGAGATGATATTGTGCGAGAAGAAGGACTTAGAAGCATTGGCACTAGAATGGAGTTTGTCTAATCCCTCGCAAGATGAAGCAGTTAAAATTGTTCTTGACATTTTACAACCTCATGAAAATCTTAAAAAGCTCACAATAAGAAATTATGGCGGCCAAAAACTTTCATCTTGGATAGGAGATCCATCATTCTCCAACATGGTAGATTTGAAATTGGATGGATGTGAAAACTGCACAACCTTGCCTTCGCTAGCACTGATGGGCTCGCTTCAGAACCTGACAATCAGATTGATGGGAAAAATAAAAAAGATAGGTGGTGAGGTTTATGGAGAGGGTTGCTCAAAGTCTTTTCAATCGTTGCAGAAACTTTGTTTTGAGAAGTTGCAAGAGTGGGAGCATTGGGACCCTGTAGAAAATGACCATGTCGAAAGATTCCCTCGCCTCCAAAAGCTTTCAATTTCTCAATGTCCTAAACTCTATGGAAGATTACCTAATCATCTCCCTTTGTTGGATAATCTTGTGATTGATGAGTGTGAGCAGTTAGTGGATTCATTTTCAAGCCTTCCAATGCTCAGATCATTAAAAATAAATAGATGCAAAGGAATTGTTTGTTGTAGCCCAGTTGATTCAAGGGCACTAAACTCCATGAGTACAGGTGGAGAATCAAAATTTCCAGTGTTTAAAAGTTGGTCAAGGGAGGGATTTCAGAAACTAGAACATCTGTCAATTGGTGGCTGTGAAGAGCTCATACATTTATGGCCAAGTAAGATTTGTCCAGAGAATGCACCACAAGAGTTGAGTTGCTTCACCTCCCTTCAAGAGCTGCATTTAAAAGAGCTCCGGAATCTTGTTTCGTTTCCAGATGGGTTACTTTCAATCTTCAGCATTGTTTCAATCACCAAATGTGATGCCCTAACATCCTTGCACGAGGGGTTGAAGCACAGCAATGCACGTCTCAGGTCCTTAGAGGTTTATGACTGTCCTTCTCTAAAATTCATCGTGAGAGGCCGTTTACCTTCATCTCCAAATAGGCTTTCTATTTATAGATGTGAAAACTTGATGTGCGTTTTGGATGATAGAGAAGATATTTGTACTTCTTCTCCATCTTCTTCTTATTCACTGGTACACAGGGATGACGTGGACAACACCAGCACATCTCTTCTCTACAAATTAAGAATAGTGGAATGCCATTCTTTGACGCATTTATCCTCAACAGACCAGTTACCTTCAACACTCGCGGAGCTTTGTCTTTCAAACTGTTCAAGTCTCAGAACCTTGGGACAGTTATCAAAGGGACTTGTGTCCTTTTTTATTAACAACTGCCCAAAGCTAGAGTCACTAGCATCTGGGAGTTTTGACTGTAACATGCCTATTGAGATTCTTGCTATCGTGGGTTGTGAAAACCTTAAATCCATTCCGGAGGGCTTACACACTCTTTGCAAACTACGTCGTATGCTTATCAGTAGGTGCCCAAGTCTTGTTTCGTTTCCAAAAGATGGGTTTCCTGACACTGATTTAGAAGTAGAGATCTATGGGTGTGAGAAACTACAAGCCCTACCTAGCCGCATGCACACCCTCAAATCTCTTCAAGAGCTATCCTTATTGGAATGTCTTAATATCGAATCCATTACAGTAGAAGATTTCCCCCCCAACCTAAAATCACTTGAACTCCCTCTCAATATCTACCAGCCACTGACTGAGTGTGGTTGGCACAAACTTAGCTCTCTTACGAGTCTCAGAATTTGGGGATTACCTAATGTAATATCTTTCCCAGAAAAGAAGATTATAGAAATAAAGTTTCCCATCTCTCTAATTGATCTGAGCATTGTTCGTTTCCCGAAATTGAAATACCTATGTTCCAAAAATTTCCGAGTTCTTAGATCTCTCAAATTTTTGACTTTCAATGATTGCCCAAATCTCACATCCTTTCCAGACCTTCCGTCCTCGCTTTTGCGGCTACATATTTATAGATGTCCTTTAATACAAAAACAGTGCAAAAGGAATGAAGGCCAAGAATGGTCCAAGATAGTTCACATCCCTTGCGTTAAGATAAATGGAAAATTCATCTACACTCTGGAAGAGGAAATGAGCTGAATCCGATACTAATTCCTTCCATCATTGTAATCAATTTAGGTAAGTCAATTTTTAGCTCATAGAACACTAGTTACTATTAAGAGAATTTAGAGTTTTACAACAACAGAGTGTGAATTAATAATTTTGTCACTTCATGCAGGGAGAAACTAAACAATCTGGCACTGGAGGCAAAATGCCAACATTGCAATGGCAGGGGTAAGCTTTACCATATGGTTTCTTAAGACAATTTTAAGTCACACTTCTGACTATTAAAATTAATGACAGAATTGGTTAAGTATTTTCATTTCGTTCATTTCTAGTGGTACCCTAAGCTCTTTAAGCACTGAGTTGATATTGCGGTCTGTGTTTGGTTGACAGGTAGTTTTTCTTCTACCTAGTAATTCATGGAGCTTAATTTGGATGTGGAAGGCAATGATACTCTATGTGGATTACAGAGCTTTGGTGGCGTTGGTGTTCAAATGTTGCAGTTTAGCTTGCTGGAGTGTTATGGGAATATCAGTGAAGATTTTGTTGAAGCCTTTCAAAGGTAATGATTCGCTACTCCTATATCCACATTTTGTAATTCAATATCAAAAAAAATCAGCAGCTAATTCATAACTCTATGTAGTAAATGATTGTCCTTTGCAAAAAGAAAGAAAAAAGAAACAGCACTCCACACGAGGAAGAATGGAGATTCAATTCATTATTCAGGGCATGCCCTTGTACTCTTTTCAGGTCAGACAAATTCTTGCACCTAAATGGTGCAATTAGTTACTATCAGAATGATCTAGATATTTTATGGTAGGAAGATACCAACTTCAAAAACATTACGCCAACATTGCAATGGCAATGCTAAGCTTTATCATATCACATGTTGAGATAATTAAGAAGAATTTTGGTTCCTCTGTTTGATAACCATCTAATACAAAACCATAGCTATCATTTACCGTACTAACATTTTTTATACCATTTTTCAGCTCAATGAAGAAAGAGGCAAACAACAGAGCTGACCACATTGTGGATACAACAATCAAGTTAAGATGAACTCTTCAATGTCTTCATTCATCTTGCTAGTAACTTGATTTTAATAGGTTATAATGCTAGTCCATTCTCGATGTATTGATTTGAAGTGTTCTTATTTATTCATTTAATTTATTTTCAGAGGGACTAGAGTGCAGCTTCCTGTCAGAAGTTGAAGCTCAAGGGCTTGCTTCAATTAACTGCTTCCTCACCTCTTTTGATTCTTTGAAAGTTTGAACTGCTGTGCTTGTAAGGTAATCAAAAGGAATTTGTGGAGTGACTCAAACTCTTGATATTTTGTAACTTTTTATATCCATAGATACTGAAGTTTTTTTTATACTGTATAAGGAACTTGTAAGGCATCAATCGCTGTTGGTCTAATGTCAGTGAAGCTCCACCAAGAAAAGCGCTTTATTGTCTTCCATGATGCAAATCAGCCATTTCTGTTTCATTAGCGGCATGGAGGAGAGGAAGAGGAGCACTCCATTGTCTTCCATGATGTGATGGTGGATAGGATGAACTCAAAATCCACAAGTCCTTTTTATAGAAACCCGGTCCACTGTCAAGATATTATCCGCTTTGGATACAACGCGCTCTGAGAGTTTAGGAGCTCACAGACTATTTAACAAGCCTTCGCCTTTCTTTTCCAAGCGATGTGGAATATCACACTACTCTTCTTGATACGCAATGATACTACGAAGAATATGCTGAGTTATTTACAACTTCAATTGTTGTGGAAGACAATTCGTTGAAAGTTTCTGCTGCTGTCTTCATAAGCTTTTACTTTCTGCACTTCTTCCAGAATCAGACTTAAAAGAACATTTTGGTTAGACAAATTATAGATTTACATGATTTTGGATTTTTTTTTTCCGAGGAGTACGGCTCATTATGTCTCTTATCAGGATGTCATCTTTTCTCTAATCAATGAAATTTCGTCATATTGTCCAGGTTGCTTCAAAAAGAGAAAATGATGAAAAAAAGAAATAATTGTTTCATTCAGAAATTTTACACAACACAATTAAGAGAAAGGGTTAATAAAGCTTTTCCTTTCAGCCCTCTTTATTCTGCACCTTTGTTATATTTCCTTGGTTTTACAAGGAACTAAAGCACCAAATAATTCTATTGCATGCATTGTCTGTCCAATGTCCAATGTTGAAGCACACCAAATAAACAAAACTGTGTTACATTATCTCACATTTGTCTTGAGAAATTCGGATTTTGGTTGTAAAAACATTACATCAGTTCCGAAGGTCTACACACTCTTCGTAATCTTCGTTATTTTGTATAAAAAATTGCCCAAGTCTTGTTTTTTACCGGAAGACGGCCTTCCTAATCCTGTTTCAGAAGTGCTTATCAATAATTGTAGGAAGCTCAAGCTCTATCTCTTCAATGCCTACCTTATATGAATGTCCAATATGGCTTTCTCTCCGGAACAAATTGAACTCTGCACTTTACTAACCTCTTGTTCATGAACTCAGCTTCCTGGAAATTAATGCCCACTGGAATATACTGAAATAACACAGAGTACAAAATGGACTCATATGATATTATGTTATAAAACACACACAACGACAACCCCACAAACCACTCACCACTACAACCCCACACCCACACTACCTGCAAAAAAACACCCAACACTGATTTAACTTCCACATGGAATAAATCAACAAATAAATCTAAAAAGGTGAACATCATTTCAAAATCTCTTAATTTTTTCATATAAAATTCACAATGCCCGAGTGTGGAGGCTTAGAAGTTAGAAGAGAGCATAGTTACGGCTTGAAGGCTTGAGCTTTCAAGACGTGACGGGTTGCCGTTCGCCGGCGACCTTCCACGGCGGCGACCCATGCTCATCTTGCTCAAATCCGGTCATGGCTGCGTGTTTGTTTAATTGGTAAAGAGAGGGAAGTGAAGAAGAGAAGAAAAAAAAACAAAAGAAAGAGGGGAAAAAGGAGAGAGACGAAGAAGGAGAAGAGAAAAAAATATACATACATATACTTTAGTCACATAATTACCAAAAAACCCTTAGTTAGTTTGATTACCAAAACACTTTGACCAATTAGCCTACACACTCAATTACCTAAATGCCCTTTATCCTTTGACTTTTTTGACCTTTTGAAAGGCGTGCTCACGGCAAGTGATTTTTAGGGTTCTAATGATACATTAGAAAATAATGGGGACATTTAAATTTAAAACAATGGGACCAGTCAAATTAAACTTTATTTATTAAAATATATTGTAGTGCAGTAAAAATTACAAATGAGTTAGAAAAAAGGGGAATGTGCTCTTGTCTCATATAACTCCCAAAAATGTTTAAGACAATTATGTACTTGTTGTTGCGTTTTCTCTTCTTCAAATGGTAGATTATAATCATTGTTTGTGTGATGTCGGTATACTCCTGAACCACGTAACTCTAATGTATAGTTTTGAGTTCTGATTTTACCGAATTCATTTATTTGAAGGAATTGTTTATTTGTATAAGGAAAGATGGACAAAATTATATATGTATTGCTTCTTGAAAGTGAGTGTAAAACAATATTTATAAGTTGATCAATTTTTTCTTCACTTACCCTTTTTTCTCTTGAGTTTTGTTAAACTAATAATCAAACACGAATCGAATTATTGATTAGATTATCATTCAATTTTCTTTTGTGAAATTTCATGGAGGGTGGGCGTGTGATTATGTAGGTCAGTACAATAACTTGAGGTTGGTGCTTGGAGAATTCCTAAACCAAACACACTTGGACCACTATGAAGAGCAGCCAAAGATTTTGGTGTGTATAATTTAATTTGGAGTTGATTATTGAAATGGTGGAGCCCAACGCCAAGAATAGGGACCACTATGAAGAAGCAGCCAAGATTTTAGGAGCGTAAAATTTAATTTAATTTGGAGCACTTGACTCTTGGATGTCCATTTTCCTTTAATTATTCATAGTGAACGCGTTAAGAGAAAGGAAGTGTTATAAACTACTCAAAGAAAGAATCAACCAACAAAAGCAACAAATCAAGATCAAGAATCAAACACAAGACCAACAGATTTACCGTGGTTCACTTGCTCAAGATTGAGCAAGCTACGTCCCGTTGAACTCGATAATCCACGAGCTGCTCGGCACTAATACTGTCAAGTTTACAGATTACACAATCAGCAACACAAGTCACTCAAAACCCCTTCTTCAACCCGTAACCAAACCCTAGAGATTACACCATTCGAATCCCTAAATACAGTGTATCATACACCCAGAATGACCTGACCAGTCACTCAACACTCAAGTTACAGGCAACACTCAACCCAAACTGTAGAACCCTAAAGGCTTACAATGGTGTTTAACGAAGAAGAGAGTTATTCGAAACGAAAATGAATCGCTCTATAACTGCCAAAATAATTCTGCTTTTATATGGGTGAATTAGGGTTGAATTTCATCCGTGGATCTCTCTTTTTCATCAACGCTCAGATTGGTTCTGTCAATATGAGCAAAGTGACGTCGTTCCACTTAAGTGTCAAGACGGTAGCGTTTCAAGCCATCATCCAACAGAAGAAACCTCTCAAACTTTTCATTTTCTGGTCTTTTTCTTCTTTCCATCAACGCTATCAATTATTTGATTTGATTATCATTTTTCTTTCGTGAAATTTCATGGAAGGTGACCGGCTGTTATATAGGCTGGAAGTGAAATTTCGTGGAAATTTGTGATTTGAGAAAAAAACAAGACATTGAAAGAGCAACCACTATGAATTTGGATTATGGATGGTGGAGCCAAGACTTTAAAACCAAAGTTGCAGACACAGCTGGTTCTCTGCTTTATAGTACACTGTCCATTTTTCATTTTACTTTTCTTAATCTTTCATAATGAACCACTTGACTCTTGGATGTCCAGTTTCCATTTATTTACGTTTAGTAAAAAGGAAGAAACCTCTCATGAGGCATTTTTTTTTTTTACGAACGGAAAAGGACTAATATGGATATTCACTTTATTTTCTGATTTATGAAAGTGTGGAATTTTCGTTGAGTGCATTGCAGAAATTTCTATTTTCCTCCTTCCCACGCAAGTTCACCAAACCATTACCAGTCTCGAAAACCTTTCCATCTTTTCATTTATCATCTGCCGACAGAGAAGTTGAGTAAAAGTTTTCTTGCTTGTAGAAACTGAGTATCAAGAAGTTCAGACTATCCGAAAATCACAAACTACAGGTAAAGAAATTCTTCATACTCTTAGTAATTTTTTAAAGCATCTTGTTTATTTATTGTTTCACTTGTCCAATCGCTATGTTTTTTCACATTTTTGACTTAAATATATTTGTTTTTGGATTTGAACTGATGAACAATGTTTTAATTACACTGTGGAATAAGAATCAATGGTCCAGCTCAAATATAGCTATTATCCATGCATGCATCCTGTTAACAATTATCAATGCTGTGAATAGAACTCCATGGATCCATGGTCTGGTTTCTTTGGTTTATGAAAAACGTCTTACATCTGTATTAGGCCAAATCCTGAAATTTATTTTTCATAATCCGATCATTTGTAAGTTACACTGTAGAATAAATCAAGTAAATTTCTTAATATTATTTATCTTTATAAGATCTTTAAAAACATATTAGTACCAAAATCCTTTTGTTTATGGCCACTCTACATTTTCTTTTCTCAATCCTGCCTAAAAGCATCAAGATTGACAAGACGCTCACAATCACACTTGGCAGTTGTATCCTAAAATCTTCAGAGTTTCAGTTAATAAATTTGGTAATGCCCTGTAGATTTGATAGTTAATGGAGATGAAGAACCCATGAATGTCAGCCTTTAACTCTCTAAGCCTTTCAATGAACAATAGGTTAAGTTTAGGACTGAACTTGTGAATACAATTGCAGATTTTCACCTTCCATTTGGCAAACTGTATTTTATATCTTCTAAATTAGAGTAAAGAATGAGGGGATCCAACTGATAATATGTTGGGATAGTGCCTTGAGTCCCAATTGCTTGGGAAAGGGAGTTGCAAGGGACTCTCCTCTAAATACCCTAGCAGTGTGGGCACCAAAAGCATAGCTAAGGTGGACTGTTATTAAGGCGTAATTGGGTTTTTTGGAATAGTGTTAGAAGTTGACCATTTTTCTCTTCTAAAAATCCCCCTTTAAAATTCTCGTGTTTGGTTAGCTTTATTTTGCGTTGTTTGCTTTAATTTTGTGTTTGTTGTGAGAATTTTTTTCCAATATATATTACCCAACCAAACGTTTTTAAACTGTTGATGAAAATCAAGTAAATATCTAAACTAAGAGGGTAATTAGTATCTCGAAAAAAACTAATTCATTTTTTTGATTTCTCTGGTAACTCTATCTACAAGATTTGACATAATTACACATAAAATCACACTGTTACCCATGTCTGATATTATATTATATGATAGGCCGTGCAAAGGTGCTTAGGATGCCAAATCGAAATCGATTCCTCCTGTTAGGCTCTTTGTTTCTATTTGTCTTACATCGTATTTTAAATAACGCAGGTTTAAAGTGAAAATCCATTTGATTTAATTCCTTTCTTTCAAACAAACAGAAGTTATCATCATGGCTGTGGGAGAGCTCTTTCTCTCTGCGTTCCTTGCAATGTTGTTTGACAAATTGACTCCCCGAGTTGCTGCAGTTTGCAAGTCAAGAGGTGTGTACGCTCAAAGCTGAAGAAGTGGGAGAAGAAGTTGAAGTTTATGTGCTCTGCTCATGGATGCCGAGGAGAAGCAACTGACGGCAGGGCTGTGAATATGTGGCTGGACGAGCTCCAGACTTGGCTTATGAGTGGAGGACATTCTGGATGAGTTTGCAACTGAAGCTTTAAGGCGAAAGGTGATGTCTGAACACCATGCTAGCAGTAGCAAGGAAGTAGCTTTATCTCAGCTTGTTTCACTGGTCAGACTCCAAGTGCTGTGAAGTTCACTTTCAACATGAGGTCCAAGATAGGTGTTATA